TTTCTGGCACGGTAATACCACCGCTTATTCTACCACTAGAGCATATTCTAGTGATCCTTTTTGTGCTTGGTTTCCTTATTATTAGGGCGCTTTGGGTGTTGATATGATGTATTTTTGGCTTATTGATCTCATGACTATTGCTCTATTGATGGGACAAAGGGAGTTTTGGAAATTTGCAGGCTGCATTTCATTTTGACATCAAATTTCATTCTGTCGCTTTTGGTGGAAATCTTGTTTACAATACGACAGACGTTATTTGCTATTGAAATAATTGCAAGTTTGGCTGTCCTGACACTTATTATTACATTGTAGCAAATTGGTTTCTACTTAGTATCGATAGTGGCACATTTTATTCTTGTTGTTATTGTTGTTGTTGTTCTTGAGTGGGTTTTTGTATATGGCAATAGGTCTGCTGTACTTGGTAACTATCGTGTCCACGATTTGGGACATGACTGTTGTTACACCAATGACCAAATGGACCAAATCTCAACAATGCCCTATAGTCCATGTGAATATGATTGCTACCGAGATCTGCAAAGTTACTTCAAGAGCATGGAGGAGACAGATCGGGTGTGGAGTGAATTGAATTGCTGATTGAATCGTGCTATGGGCATCTGGCAGGAACCATGGTAGTTAAAGTGTAATTGATGTCACACTTACAATGCAACAACAATTGATCGGTGGGTGTCTGAGAGATCTTGGCACTCATGACCGCACTTGCCCCCCAGAAGATGCCACGTTCAGGCTTGGCAGCGTTATGCCATTTACAGTTGTCAATTCAATTAACCTGGCATCTTATAATTAACCGATTGTTCCGTAATTAGTGTGCAATGACTCTCCATATTCTGAACCTTGGGGTGTGCGATAGACTTACCTCCACGTGGTGCACCCTGGGCAACGTATTCTCATACGACAAAAAAGTCTATTAACCGGCAGTTGACTTCTGACTTTAAATAGCCATGATCCCATTGTATGTCATATTCGACTAATTCTACAGTACTCACCTCACTTTTTTTCTACCTATTCTATTTTCGTCTTTGAAGCACTCTTCTGTTTCCCCCCCCCCCTCTCCCCTCCGACTTTTTTCACTGCGACGTTCCTTTCCCTCTGCGAAGCCTCAGGTCAACTAAAGGGTTAATGATAACCATCAAAACGCCTGCCATTTGATATAAATAAATATTATGAGCCTTCATGCATTGTCAGTGCTTTACATTTACTGTTGACTAGTTCGGCGCCTACTTCGATTCCTTCATATTTACCAATTGTCAAAGTCTTACTTGTTTCAAATAGATTGAGGAGAAGAGTCAGCATTTGAAAAATTTTCATTTCGTTTCTTTCAATAGTTTGACTAGGATACCATTGGTGGCAGTCCACACACTATTGTCTCAAGTTCACTGGAAATCTGCTCGAATTGTCGCCNGCTCGAATTGTCGCCGTGATGGAGTGAATCCACAAATTATTCTTCAAAAGGGATTTTGCAAACTAGCTCCAATTATTTTGTTTTGCAATACCTCTGCGTTTTTATTACTCCTTATCTTGAGTTAGTTGGTAACTGTCATTTATACCTATTTTTAATAGATTTTTCTGTCCCACCACCAGGGATGGAGAGGTCATAAATTATTCAACTTGTAGTGTTTGGGTATTCGCTAAAGTGCTTGGAGTGATTGGGATACTTTTATGATGCATCAACTATTGGTAAATAGGTAATACTGCAATTTGAAATCACACTTTGAAGTGCTCCCATTTAGTCATTGCCAGGATGTTGAGCGAACGTTCTTCTCAAACTATGAATCACGTAAATGAACAAATGATTGAATAAATAAAGAGATGAAGGCGACTCCTGATAGTGATGTGGACTTTAGCGAGTTGCTGTGCCGTCGAACTTGGAGAAGCTTGCCATGTTCAAGTTGAAAGTGTTTGTAGATATGTCTTTATTTGATGAGATGTTATCCTGACCAAGTATTCCATGTATTTAAGCACAGCATGTGTTTGTTTCAATTCTGACGAGGTATTCTTATTCAGTATCGACCAATTAATCGCGCTCTTCGAATAATGTTTCCAGTTGTTTAAAATGTCAATATTACGACACAGGAAAGCATGGTTCTCTTTCAAGCTCAATGTTTCAATTTACTCACCTATTCACTTACCGTGGGTGGAGAGCTAACGAGGTAGACCTCCAATGGTGAGTAAATCGAATCCTTTGAACCTCTACATCCGTCAGACTTTATCCATTCATTTGGCAATTCCCCTCACTAGGTTCGCACTGTTGGACGTAAAACGTTCGGGCTGACTACTGTACCATCATCGTTCAAACTGATTTGCTAACCGGTGTTCATTGCCCACTCATGTCTTCCACTTGTCTTTGAATCGGCGAGCCCATTCAACACAAGGCTTTATCTTCCCTCTAGATACATATTCTCCATGGTGTCGAGACCCACTTAGAGGGAAGTTAGCAGGACTTAGAGGAGGTAGGATGAGGGTAGCTGAAAAAACAATCAAGCACATCAATAAATCATAGAAATTCTATTCTCCTGTTGTACTTCCAGATTATCTCATAATCCGCCTTCTTTCTTACTTTTGACTTTTATTGAAAGTTGGTCACCTTCGATTGCACATACTATCATATCAAACACCTGCACCAATGGCGTGCGCTTGTGATGCACTTTTGTCATCCTCATGACTCCCTTCACTCAAGCTTTACGTTGTCTTGTGTAACGTTGAGAATTGAATTAAGCTTATAACATTCTCTAAGCACTGTATTTCATCAATTTACACATGTGCTACTCAGTGGGAAATAAGTAGTCAATGTATTTTTATTCCATTTTGGCCAACCAGTAATCTACATATATAAATACATTTTAAAATTTCAATATCATTCATATTAGCAATTAGAAATGCCAAATATCCTTATTCTGGACATTGCTTGCAATTTCAACTACCTCCCTGAGAGAAAATATTTCAAAGGGGGGGGGGGTATTTCACAAATTATTTCCCATTCAGATCGAAATATCATCAGTCTACGAATATGCATATTTGTTTGTCCATTCAAGTTTTCAAATAAGATGCACAACCACTCCAGTATTGGTCAAATTGAAACACCGAACTCTCATTGCAATCAATGTCTCCCCTATAAACGGTCGGTTCAGGAGATATGTAATGAGCATGGCTACATATCCAACTCAAACAGTCGTTCAACTTCCTCTTGCCTTGAACATGTTGGAAATCAGGTGAAGTAAAAGCTTCTAGTTTACTTCATCTTATATTCACCTTCTTCCAGCTTTCCTACAGTTTTTAAATGATGCGAATTCTGATAAATGATTGGTTTTGTTTCGCAAATAAAGTATTAAATTACTTTCCTCATTATTTGTGTGCAAATTGCATCATAATTGAATTGTGTTTGAGCTAATCATTGGAAGCCTATTGAAGTTGCACTGCAATTCAGCACTTTGTATTCCACATTTATAAAATATCTGATGTCAATGGAGACGGGTTGGAAACCATAAGAGGCTGGGTGTGTGTCTTGACCCTCTGCTCTTCGAAGGGGTGACACCCTTCATTTAATAATAAAACGGCGGTTTTCCATCAAGTAATTAAGAAAATACCACGATAAGTGTTGCCCATATATATTTTTTTAAAGTCATTGATTTCAAAGGCCATTTTTTAAAATATTCTGAGAGGTCAAGGAAATCACCAACCCAAAGTGAGGAAAAGGTAATTGAAAATAAACGAATTCCTGTGTAAGCACTCGCAAGCCTTCTACATTTACTGTACTTTGAAGATCCAAAAAAGAAAGCGTACGAAATCGGGTGTAGGAGATAAATTTTAAGAAATATTGAGGTTCCTCTTCTGTTAGGACTCGTAATGTGGTCGAAGTATGAGAGGAGGAATGACATCACTCAGTTGTTAAATCCACAGTTGTGGCCATTTTATGGAGAGGCTTCCATTCGCACTCAGTGTAGAGGACAAGTTCATAGAAGTTAGATCCTCCGGATTTCCAAGTGGATTGCCGTCTACCACCTCAGTCCCTAATGACTTTGTCCAATCAATGGAGGTCATGGTACACCAGCAGTCTCTTCTAATGTGTAAGGAAGTGAAGCATAACAATGGTCTCCTTGATTCCACGAAGCATGGCACAGAGAACTTCGCTCAACGAAGGCTTAGATAACTTGATAACTTATAACAGCTCAGAATACTGAGACCGTGGTTTGATTTTGGTGAAAAGAGATTCCAGTTTGCAGAGATTCAACTTGATATTTCATATTACTGAATTTCAATGTATTTAATAGGCTGACATCCCAATGAAACCCAAATTTTGAGTAGTTCTAATCCGATTAACCCAGCTCATATCCCCCTTCATCCTTCTATTTCCCATCAAGTCAAAGGTAAGCCTAGAGGGTTCGCAAGTTCTCTCGTCTGTTAAACTCTTTGGAGGGGAAAGCTACGGTTCACATTAAAATTCTTAAAGTTGTCACTTGGTTAAAATGCCACTAATGTGGCGTTTTCGTGGGGTGATACAAACCGTGCGTGCGTGCTCATGGGCTCACTACTAGGGAGCCAATAGGAATGCAACGAAGTGAGATATTTAAAATGGCACAATTTACTGAGAAAGGCATTCAATACCTTAGCACAATGGAGGTTCTTAAAGTTCTTAGTTTGATCACACTTCTTGTGTGTTCGAGGGCTCTAAAAGCAGACCCAAATGACCCACCGCCAGAGCCACTGAAAGTGGTGCAGGAGGAGATAAGTCCAGATTTCTGGGTAAGACAGGCCAAGGAAAGGTTCGCCAAAGATTGCAAGATGTTCAGCTCTCTGAGAACCTCTACCCATGCCAAGAATGTGATCATGTTGTTGGGTGATGGTATGGGAATGCCAACAATTTCTGCCAGTCGATTCTACATCGCGGAAATGCAGGGTCGAAATGGCTCTGCTGTTTTCCACCCCTTCGAAGAGTGGGATTTCAATACGATGGCCAGAACCTATGATCTTGAAACATCAGTTACTGATTCCGCCAGTTCAGCTAATGCCTACCTGACTGGTGAGAAGGCTATTACACCACTAATTCGTCTTATTTTCTAGGCTCGAAAACGCGAACTGGCATGATTGGAATCGATGGCAATCTTAATGTCAAACAATGTGGAAAATGGGACTCGAAGTATTTCACGCAATCAGTTCTTGAAGCTGCTTACAGGGCTGGCAAAGCAACTGGTGTCATTACGAACACAAGAATAACCCATGCTTCTCCATCTGGCACTTATGCTCATGTCACCCACCGTGACATGGAGANACCAGTAACTTTGACTCCATTTACCAATGATCTAAACCTTCTTTCAACAGGAAAATAAAGGAATTTTGCCCACAAGAATATGACAAAATGCCCTGTCAAGACATTGCTTGCCAATTGCTTCAGAATCACCAATACATCAATGTGATTGTTGGCGGTGGGCAGGAGAATTTCGCTCCCAAAGCAGCTAAGCCCAAGGCAAGTGAATATGTGGGCATTCGAGAGGATGGGAGGAACCTGATTGAAGAATGGATTGGAAATAAAACTAAGGAGAACAAAAACTTCTGCTTTGTCGGCGAGCCGGAAGATTTGTCAAAATGCAAACCATCAGAGAATGATTACATTTTGGGTTAGTCACCATATGAAATTAATTATAATGACTTTATTTATTCATCTTCTCACAACCCCGTCATTTTTCGAACTAGCACTTCCTTACGCTGGACATTTTCCGTATACGCACGACATTCCAATGGGCGAACCAAATCTTCTAGATTACGTACGCACAGGTCTTGAAGTTCTCAAACGACAGAAAAATGGATTCTTCCTCTTCATTGAGAGTGGACGAATTGACCACGCTCATCACGATAATAATGGACGGTAAAAGAAATTCACGAATTTTGTCCAATTAAATCCAAAATAATTTTGGCAAATTGTCATTTTCCTTTCTTTAGGTATTCCCTCGATGAGATGTTGGAGTTTGATAAAATTATAAACTACATCCAAGCATAAGTTGATCTAAAGGAGACATTGTTAATTGTCACAGCTGANCAATCTAAACGTCAAACAATGTGGAAAATGGGACTCACAGCATTTCACGCAATCAGTTCTTGAAGCTGCTTACAGGGCTGGCAAAGCAACTGGTGTTATTACAAACACAAGAATAACCCATGCTTCTCCATCAGGCACTTATGCTCATGTCACCCACCGTGACATGGAGAGTGACGTGTTAGTTCAACCTCCATTGTCCTTATGACCAGTAACTTTGACTCCATTTACCAATGATCTAAACCTTCTTTCAACAGGAAAATAAAGGACTTTTGCCCACAAGAATATGAAGAAATGCCCTGTCAAGACATTGCTTGCCAGTTGATTCAGAACCACCAATACATCAATGTGATAGTTGGCGGTGGACAGGAGAATTTCGCTCCCAAAGCAGCTAAGCCCAAGGCAAGTGAATATGTGGGCATTCGAGAGGATGGGAGAAATCTGATTGAAGAATGGATTGGAAATAAAACTAAGGAGAACAAAAACTTCTGCTTTGTCGGCGAGCCAGAAGATTTGTCAAAATGCAAACCATCAGAGAATGATTACATTTTGGGTTAGCCATCATATGCATTTAATTATAATGACTTTATTTATTCATCTTCTCACAACCCCGTCATTTTTCGAACTAGCACTTCCTTACGTTGGACATTTTCCGTATACGCACGACATTCCAATGGGCGAACCAAATCTTCTAGATTACGTACGCACAGGTCTTGAAGTTCTCAAACGACAGAAAAATGGATTCTTCCTCTTCATTGAGAGTGGACGAATTGACCACGCTCATCACGATAATAATGGACGGTAAAAGAAATTCACGAATTTTGTCCAATTAAATCCAAAATAATTTTGGCAAATTGTCATTTTCCTTTCTTTAGGTATTCCCTCGATGAGATGTTGGAGTTTGATAAAATTATAAACTACATCCAAGCATCAGTTGATCTAAAGGAGACATTGTTAATTGTCACAGCTGATCACTCGCACGCACTTGAATTGGTTGGCCAACCCGGACGATTCCAAAGTGTCCTTGGTATTGATCAATATTATAGCAATCTTGTAAGGAAAATGCTTTAATCTTTTACCAATTGGAGGAATCTCTCGCTTTTTAATCGTATTTCTTTCCACCTACAGACCGATGATAAGATGCCATTACAAGGACTCAACTACATGAATGGACCAAATGGGTTAATTAACGAATACCGAAAAAATCCCGCTTACGAAGATATCTTCGACTGGAGCTATAAGCAGCAGACATTAGTACCACTTCCAATTGCCTCCCACGGTGGTGACGATGTCGGCGTCTACGCAACCGGACCCCTCTCGGCTTTCTTCCACGCCAATGTGGACAACACCTTCATTGCCCAAACCATGAAACTGGCCCTAGGAGTCGAACCATATGAAAGAATGAATTCACCCTGTGATGGTTTTACTTGAACCCTTCTCTCAGCCTCAACTGTAATCACAATTTTCTACTCATTGTTATTAAAAGCTACAGTACTACTCGACAATAAATCGTTGTTTTACTTAATTCGACTTCAATTTTATGTGAAACCAATGGAGCATGTAGAGGTTAATTAAGTTTACTAATAATTTCGACTTTTAGCTAAGAAGTTGAGTTAGAATTGTAATATTATTGATGCAAATTTTTGCCAATTTGTGATGAGCATTATTTATTTATTTCAAATGACAGACGTTTTGATAGTTGTCATTAGCCATTTGGCTGACTTAGGGCTTCACAGAGAGGAGGAGGAACATTAAAACAACAAAAAGTCAAGATGGGGGGGGGGGACAGAAGACGACACAGTGGGGTGATGGTAGTTTGAAGTGAGAAGTCAACTGCCGGTTAATAGACTTTTTTGCCGTATGAGTATACGTTGCCCAGGGTGCACCACGTGGAGGTAAGTCTACCGCACACCCCGTGATGAGCATTATAAAATGAGCTTTAATTGGCGTACGCTTCAAAAATTGAGAAACAATTTCCATCGGATGTGGACAACATTATCACACAAATCATGAAGGTGGAATCAGGCAAATTGATAAAACGAATTCACCTTGTGATGGTTTCACTGTTTCCCTTCACGTTGTTCCAGTTTTCAGTTTTTTAGAACTGCGGTTCTCTCTACACTACTCTACCACACTCGTCAATGTTATAGGGAGAGGTTAATCAGGTTTCCTATAAATGACATCTTTTTGTTAGCCTGCTGAGATAGAATCGTAACAATATTGATAAAAATAATTAAGAAAGACTCAAAAGGTATAAGTCTTTGAAAATTAGGTTGAAATTGATATTCCCTTCAAGAATTGAGAGTTAAAGTAAGTTGAAATTATTTTCTCCGAAAAGTGCGAGATTTTTTTCGAAAGCCAATCAGCAAACGATTCTACTAATTTATAATTTAATTCCAGTGATATCGATTGCCATCATCTCTTAACAACATTTCAGTGGTTTGACTTCAAACGATTCCTAAAAACCTCTAATTCCGAAAATAAATTTTTAGCTTAAAACTAGACCTATAAATTGATGGCTTTCTTAACAATAAAGTGTAACGAGTTTAAATATTCATTAATACTCATTTCTTTTTACTGGTTCTTCATTCATCTCTTCCTTTTCTTCCTCTCAGAAATTCTGGCGTTATCTCTTAAAACCATCACCATCTTATTGGAAATTTAAATTGCCAAAAATTCGTTTTGAAGGATTAAACGGCACATGAAACAGGGTGTATGCAGAGTTCTATTGGAAATAGGCATTAAGGGGTGTGGTTCAAGTATTTTGAAGTCATCTTTCCATTCATGACAACGTTAATTGACTCAAGTCACTCCCGTTGAAAGAATGTGGAATCTGCTTGGAGGCATTGTGCTATAAAGTAATTATTTCGATTTGATGAAGAATTAGACTTTAGGTTTAGTGATTGAAGCAATAAAAATGAGGAATATCAATAAATTAAAAGAGGGGGAGGGGGGTGT